CCCCCCCCCCCCCCCCCCACAAAGGCCTCAGATTCGGAATGCCAAACACTCCCCAACCTCAGAAGAAATTCCACCTCTTCTCCATCTTAAATGGGAGCCCCTTTATTTGTAAGCTGTGCCTGTCTATTCAGAGCTCATCTTGAGGGGTAACCCCTCTTAGCATCCACCCTGTCCATCCCTTCCTCAGAATCCTGTACTTTTCAGTAAAGGTCATTGACTTCTTGTGATTCGGGACACCCAGAACTTCCACCTGTGTTCTAAGACCAAAGAACAGTATAGCACAAGAACAGACCCCCTTGGCCCACCAAGCCTGCACCAATGCACGATGCCTATCTATACTGAAAAACCTTTTACCTCTACATAATCCATATCCTTCTATTCCCTGCCTGTTAGTGTATTTGTCTTAAATATTGCTATTGTATTTGCCTCCACCATCACATCTGGCAGAACATTCTAGGCACTTACCATTCCTTTTTAAAAAAAAAGTACATCTCACGTTTAAACTTTCCCCCCTTTTACCTTAAAGCTATGTCCCCCCGGTAATTGGCATTTCTACCCTGGCAAAAAGACTATCCATTCTACCTCTATCTCTCATAATTTTGTAAACTTCTATCAGGTAGCCCATCAGTTCTGTGTTCCAATTCCATTTAGCTAGTATGGTGGTTTTTATGTCCTCCCTGTCAAAATGGAGAACCTGAAATTCTCCAGCATTATACTCCACCTGCCAAAATGTGGCTCACTCAGAGTCTTGCTGTACCTCTAGGTAACATGCAAGGGGCTTGCCCTGGTAGCTGCCAAGAGGTTGTCTTCCCCAATCCCCAACATGCAGTCATGCACTGTCTCTCTGGGATGAAGGGTGTAGAATGTGGGTCACAGGCATGACCATTTTGGATTGAGCTGAGGAGAAATGTTGTCAGTTGTGATTGTACATCTCTGAAATTCTTCACCACCCCAGAGATCCTTTGATGCTTCAAGGTTGAATATGTTTCAGGTTAAGAAGGGCCTTGTGCCTCAGTGGTTGTGTCTCTACCTCTGGCAGAAAGGTCTAGATTCAAGGTTACGTGGATTGGCCATTCTAAATTGCTCTGTAGTGTCCAGGGATGTGCAGGCTAAGGTGGATTAGCCATGGGAATTGCAGCATTAAGAGGATAGGGTCAGGGGCTGGGCCTGGGTGGGAAGCTGTTCAAAGGCTTGTTGCAGACTTGATGGGCTGAATGGCCTCTTCCCACGCTATAGGGATTCTATGATTCTAATTCTGCCTGCCACAGAGGAGTGTTGAATATGTTGATTTAAATAATACATAAACAAATTTTGACTGTCCCAGGGGATCAAAGAATGGTGAGCAGGTGGAAAAAGAGGTCATGTGACTACAACAAAAATGTAGATGGGTTAAGTGAGTGGGCAATGTACAATTTTGACCAGAAGAATTAGTTTAAAAAAAAATCTAAATGAGAGGTTGTAGAGCCCTGAGATAGAGGGATTTGGGTATCCTAGTGCCAGAATCTCAAAAGGTTATTCTATGGGTACAGCAAGTAACCGAGTCTTCTCATTTATCCAGAAGAGTTGAATACAAAAATAAGGAGGTTATACTTCACTTATTCCAAGAACTGCTGAGACAGCATCTTGTGTACTGTTCTGGTTACCTTCTTTAAAGAATTGTGCAGATATTTTGGAGGCAAGGTTTGGAATAAGTAGGAGCAAATTACTGCAGATACTGAAAACAACAAATGCTGGAGATCACAGTGGGTCAGGCGGCATCCTTGGAGAGTGTAGGTGACTCTTCATCAGAGCTCTGTTGCCTGACCTGCTGTGATCTCCAGCATTTGTTTTCAGCTTGGAATAAGTGGACCCTCTTGTGGGGTAAAGGTTGGAGAGTACGGGCTTGTATCTGCTGAAGTTCAGAAGAGGAAGAAGTGACTTTATTGCAACATAGAAGATTCTGGGGAGTCTTGACAGTGTCAATGTGGTCAAGAAGTTTCATGGGAAAATCTAGAATGAGGGGTCACTGTTTCAAAATTAGCTCACCCATTTAACCCGAGATCAGACTTCGCAGCTCACTTCCTGAAAAGGCAATGAAAGCAGAACCCTTGAATATCTACGTGGCACAGAGGAATAGATCAAAGTCACAGAGGTCTGCAGCATGGAAACAGGACCTTCGGCCCAACTTGCCCATGCTGCCCTGTTTTCACAACTAACTGAGTCCTGCATTTGGTCTATATCCCTCCATACCTGTCTAATTTTTCTTAAATGATGAGATTGTACTCACTTCCCACCACTACCTCTGGTAGCCCATTCCAGACACTCGCCACACTTTGTGTGGAAAAAAATTGCCCCTCTAGACCCTTTGTATTTTTCACCGTAAACCTATGCCCTCTAATTTTAGACTCCCCTACCATGGGGAAAAGCTGTTGGATATATACCTTATCTATCCCTGTCGTGATTTTACGGACCTCGAAAAAATCACCTTCCAGTTTCCTACGCTCCAGGGACAAGAGTCCCAGCCTGTCTAAGATAACAAGGTGTAGAGCTGGATGAACACAGCAGGCCAAGCAGCATCAGAGGAGCAGGAAAGCTGACGTTTAGGGTCTAGGCCCGAAACGTCAGCTTTCCTGCTCCTCTGATGCTGCTTGGCCTGCTGTGTTCATCCAGCTCTACACCTTGTTATCTCAGATTCTCCAGCATCTGCAGTTCCTACTACCCCAGCCTGTCTAACCTCTCTTTATAACTCAAATCTTCCAGTCCAAATAGCATCCTCATTAATCTCATCTGCACTCTTTCTTGTTTAATAATATCCTTTCTATAGTAGGGTGAACAGAACTGCTCACAGTACTCCAAATGTGGCCTCATCAGTATCTTGTACAGCTGCAACAAGACGTCCCAACTCCTATACTCGGTGTTCTGACCAATGAAAGCTAGCATGCCTAAAGCCTTTTTCACTGCCTTGTCTCCCTGTGACTCCACTTGCAAGGAGCTATTAACCTGTATCCCTAGATCTCTTTGTTCCATAACAGACCCCAGGGATCCCCCTACCATTGACTGTAAGTTTGATTTACCAAAATGCAACACCTTGCATTTATGTAAATTAAACTCCATCTTCCACTCCTCAGCCCACTGGCCCAGTTGATTGAGATCTTGCTGCACTCCCAGATAACGTTCTTTACTGTCCACTCCACCACCACAACCTTATTAACCATACCTCCTAAATTCTCATCCAAATCGTTTATATGCAGTAACGAATAACAGTGGACCCAGCACCAAATCCTGTGGCAAACCTCTGGTCACAGGCCTCCAGTCTGAGAAACAACCCTCTACGACCAACCTCTGTTTCCTACCATCAAGCCAGTTTTGTATCCAATTGGCTAGCTCTCCCTGGATCCTGTGAGATTTAACCTGACTCAACCACCTACTGTTATTGATGAGCAAGGTCAGGTGAAAGGTTATCGGCAGTTAGTTGGGAATATGGATTTGAGGTTACAGTCAATCACTCAGAATTCAGCTGAATAGCGGGGCAGGCTTGATGGGCTGAATAGCCTTCCTCCGCTCCTTATGTCCCCGCGATCCTGATCTTGCACCCTCCTGGCCCCACACTGATAGGATTGAAAGGTTATTAGTGGTATACTGGAATGTGGAATTAGCAGATCGGTCGTGATCTTACTGAATGGCAGCACGGGTTAGAGGGACTGAATGGCCCCGACTCTGAATTGATAAGCTCCTATAATAAGCGGCATTGAAGCCAAAGAATAATCGGGGTCATATTGAGTGGTATGAACCACATCAATTCTTGAGATGGCAGGATTGTTGTCTGAGGCAGGATTTAAGAGACGAGGCCTGTGTTCTGGAATGTTTGGTAGATGTGAAGAAATCTCCCTTGGTCTTTTAGTGGTAAATGCAGAAATGGTGTTTCCCCTTGCAGGGCAGACAGAACCAGGGAGCGCTGCCTCGGTACTGGCCCTCTGGCAGCATGTGGCACTCCCTCAGCGCTCCGTAGTGAGTACTCCTCACTGTCTCGCTGGCCATCTCCTTGACTGTGTAACTTTCCTTTACACTCGCTCGATCTCGCACACCACTCCCTGATCCTGTCCCTGCCTGTGCATCTTCTCCCCCACCTCCCCGGCTCTCTCTTGCTATCTGTCTGTCTGTCTGCCTGTCTTTGCCCCAATGCGCCCCGGCTCCTGAAGTCCAATTGTTTGCTTTCTGTCTGTCTCTTTCAGCGTGCTGTCACCAGACGTCGCTACGAGGATGATGGCATTTCCGATGATGAGATTGAGGGGAAGAGGACTTTTGATCTTGAGGAGAAACTGGAAAGCAGCATGTACAGTGCGAGCTTTGTCCGGTTTATGGACGGGAAAGGTAAGCTGAGCTGTCCAGTCCCAGCCTGCAGGCTCACTCTTTGATGAGACAACCGCCTGCATTCCATTGCAAAGCTTTCTGTCTGCTCCACCCTCTTGCTAGTTTCCTCCCCTCGCAACCGCCCGGCCACTGCCTCCCCTGCCCACTCGCTGATTTGCCCTCCCTCTTTATTTCTGCTGCTGTCACGCAGTCCCCCACCTCCCTCCCCTTTTACTCTGTCTCCCCAGCCTTGGTTCCCGCAGCACCCTCAGACTTGCCCAGCGGAAGCTGAGTGTGGTTCTGTGGCAGGAAACAGCTGGCCCTGATCATGTGCAGGAAGCTACCAGCTTCCTCTCTGCCAGCCTGCCTCTCCTTTTCATCTGCAGATCACACAGCACACTGAATGCAGTCCCCAAACATTGACAACCCACTTTTGCTCAGTGGCAGCAGTGTGTACCACCTAACTTGGTTGAGGCTAGACGGAGCCAGTTCCAATAACAATCGAAGCTCAACACCATAAGGGACATAGCAGGCCACATGATTGGCGCCACATCCCACTCCCGCCCCCACCGACGCTCAGTCGCAGCAGTGTGTACGATCTACAAGATGCTCTGCAGAACTTCAACAAAGATCCTCAGGCAGCACCTTCCAAACCAGAAGGATAAGGGGCAGCAGATACATGGGAACACCACCCCCTGCAAGTTCCCCTCCGAGCCACTCCCCACCCTGACTTGGAAATATATCCCCGTTCCTTCAGTGTCACTGGGTCAGAATCCCTGGAATTCCCTCCCTAAGGGACATTGTGGGTCAACCCACAGCACATGGACTGCAGCGGTTCAAGAAGGCAGCTCACCCCCACCTTCTCAAGGGGGGCAACTAGGGATGGGGCAATAAATGCTGGACCCAACCAGCGATACCCACATCTGATGAATGAATTTATCATTGTAGTGTCACCATCTGTCTGTTCTCATCCTCCCAGTCGTTGAGAGAGATTTGGCAATGTCTCTCCGGCCTTAGGTTAGCACCTGAAGCCCTGTCTCATGGCCACTGGGGGTGAAAGGTCACAGCCTGACTCAGCCAAGTGTGCTCTATTAACCATGTCCTCTTCTGCTGTTGTGTAGATTTCACCTTCCAGTACGTCCAGAGAGATGGCCTGCGATGCCCGCTTATCTTCAAAAAGAAAGATGGCCTTGGAATCAAGTGAGTGCGTGGGGGTTGTGGGTGGGCAAGGATTACTGTGATTACAAGGTTAGGGATGTGTGTACTGGGGGGAGTTGCTGACCAAGACATCTGACAGCACGGAAGCAATTGCACATCCCCCCCCCCCGCCACTTTCCCTCCCTCCTGCCCATTAGGCCTTACCTTCGGGGAACTTTGGGTTAGGGCTAAAGACTCTGGAAAGATCAAGCAGAGAAGCCTCAGGAGGAGATTGAATCAAGCTGATCACAATCACGAAGGGGTTTCCCTCGAGTTAATTCAGAGGAACAGCTTCAAGTGAGAGACCGAAGTGTCCCAGATTGAAGTGATTCGGGAAATGATGTGGAAGTGGCGCTGGTGGGGAGATGAGGGGAATTGTTTATTTTGGGACACAGTGAGTTATAGTGATGTGGAACATGCTGCCTGAGAGGGAACAGGTTTGATAGGCAGCCCTAGGAGGGGCATTGGAGAAATACTGGCAGGGGAAGGATTTCGAGGGAGGCAGCAGGAGAGGCAGCACAGGGCAGGGAAAGTGTGGAATTGGCCAGAGGTCATGCAGAGAGCTAGCACAGGCTCAATGGAGGGAATGGCTTACTTTTGTAATTCACAAGATGCCCTGTTGTACTGTTTCCCCTTGTGCAGGATGCCAGAGCCGGATTTCAGTGTCAATGACGTGAAGATGTTTGTCGGTGAGTATGTTGTAACCACTGCAGTGAGTTCCTCTTTATTATCACAGTTTTTTTTTTAAAGAGATATCCATCTGAGATCGGGAGCATTGGAGGGGCTTACAGAGATAGGGAGGGGTGTGGGGGCGGGGGGGGGGGCAGACACGGGGAGGGGTGCAGTTTAGTTTCTCACCCAGCCTCTTGCCCCGTATCTTCAGTATCTCTTCCTCCCACCCAGCCCCTTGTCTGCCATCGCCAGAAGTTGTTTGGATAATTTAACAGTGAAGGGGATCAGGGTTCTTGTTGCCCCGATTCACACGCTGTCTGTCTGCCTCCTTCGGACCATGAGCCTGTTTGGTCTTGCTGCAGGGAGTCGGAGAATGGTGGATGTGATGGATGTCAATACACAGAAGGGCATTGAGATGACGATGGCACAGTGGGTGAAATACTACGAGACGCCAGCCGCTGAGAGAGAGAAGCTCTACAACGTCATTAGCCTGGAGTTCAGCCACACCAAACTGGAGAATATTGTCCAGCGCCCTGCAACGGTACGCTGCCAGCTGAGTGTGTTTGCATTGGTCAGCAAGGCCATTCCCTGACCCCTCCACAGAGTGACCCTCAGTGCGGTCAGCACAGGGCCCAAGCAGCAAGGCCACTCCCTGACAGCTCCACAGAGTGACCGTCACTAATGTGCTCCCTCAGTGACACAAGCGAGCTCACATTGCTGCGCGTTGTCTGGAATTAGAAATGTTAGAGCACAGGGGAAGGCCACTGAGCCTGCACTGTTCATACTGTCTCTCTGCCACAGCAACACGTCTAGCCTTCCAACCCCATCCAACTAAGCCTTTCTGCACATCACCATCCAATTTCTTTTGGACAGTTTCCATCAACCTTCCCTCCTCCACACTCTCAGGCAGCACGTTCCAGACCCAAACCCCTCACTGTGTGACGTTTCTCCTCCTGTCACTGTTGTTTCTTGTAATTGTTTCACCAATCTCTATCCCTCTGGATCTCGATCTGTCCCTCATTGGGAACGATTTCTCCCTCTCCACTCTGTCTAGACCCCTCCTGAGTTTTAAAACTTCGAGCAAATCCCTCTCGACTTTCTCTTCTCCGAGTGGAATAGTCCCAGCTTCTCCAATTCTTCATCCCTGGAACGACTTTCCTGAATCTTTGCCTGCAGCCTGTGGAATTCCCTCACATCTTTCCTTTTAGAGTTGTCCCTTTTGATCATTGTGTTTTGCTCCTTCAGTGTATATGTTCAGTTGAGAACTTCAAGTTCATAGAATCCCTACAGTGTGGAAACAGGCCTTTCGGCCCAACAAGTCCATGCTGAACCTTGGAGCATCCCACCTAATATGCACATCCCTGGACACTGTGGGCAATTTCCCATGGCCAATTCACCTAGCCCGCACACGTTTGGACTGTGGGAGGAAACTGGAGCACCCAGAGGAAATCCACGCAGACACTGGGAGAATGTGCAAACTCCACACAGACAGTCGCCGGAGGGTGGAATTGAACCCGGGTCCCTGGCGCTGTGAGGCAGCAGTGCTAACCACTGAGCCACCGTGCCACCCCGCCACCCCTTGAGCCCCCTGCTTTGTCAACCATTTCATTTTTGTCCACTGAGACTGGAGCCCTAGGTAAACTATATCAAAGAATCCTTCCAGTGTAAAAAGAGTCCATTCAGCCCATCGAATCTACACTGACCGGCTGTAGAGTAATCTACCACACCTCACCACCCCACTCCCATAACTCTGCATGGGGTTTTTCCCACGGCTAACCCACCTAGCGTGCACATCTTTGGATGTGGGAGGAAACAGGACCACCTGGAGGAAACTCATGCAGACGTGGAAAATGTGCAAACTCCGCCCGAGAGTGGAATTGAACCTGGGTCAGTGATGCTGTGAGGCAGCAATGCTAACCGCATGGCCCCGGAGGCTGCGAAACACAGGTTCCTCAGGCAAATTTTGCTGCACTCCTTTCCATTTGCCTTTGGGAAGGTGGGTGGGCAGGGGCCTTTGGCCTTGACCAGTGTCAGTCGCTAATTACCCCCTGATGTTGTCTTTGCTCCTCACCTGTAGGTGGATCTGGTGGACTGGGTCGATAACATTTGGCCCCGACATCTGAAGGAAAGGCAGACGGAGTCCACAAACGCAATTGTCGAAATGAAGTACCCTAAAGTCAGGAAGTATGTTCGCTTTCCAGCAACAGCGGAAATAATCTCGACCCTGTTACATATCCCACTGCCTCTCTTTAACCGCTCCTGCCTCTCCCGTCTGCCCCGTCTTCCTCTGCCAGTCATTCCTCCTCCCTCCGCCTTGCTCCCTCGCTCACCCTCTGCCGTGCTGTCGCCCGAGCTCTCAGAAACCCGCTCTTAGAAACCCACTCTCTAATTCGCCTGCTTGCCTCTCTCGCTCACTTCCCTCTTCCCCAGTGAGTTGTTGCTGTGGTTTTGTGGGTTGTCTCAGTGTTTTCTCTCCCTCTCCTTCCCCCCACCACCCTGGCAGGTACTGTTTGATGAGTGTCAGAGGCTGCTACACAGATTTCCACATCGATTTTGGTGGCACTTCCGTGTGGTACCACATCCACCGAGGAGGCAAGGTAAGTTAGCACCATCCCCTGATCTCCCCAGTAAGAGCCTGTCACTGAGCAGGCTCCGTTCCTGAGCCTGTGCACCAGTTCGCTTCTCGTCCTCACCATTGCTTATTGGCTTCCTCCGTATCCCCACAGATCTTCTGGCTGATCCCTCCCACCCCACTGAACCTAGAGATTTACGAGAGCTGGGTGCTGTCGGGGAAACAGGGCGACATCTTCCTGGGCGACAAGGTGGAGAAGTGTCAACGCATCGAACTGAAGCAGGGCTATACGTTCCTGATTCCCTCAGGTGGGTGCTGCAGCGCTGCAGGGTAGGAGTTCTGCATCTCTTCCCGATTTTCCAATTCCCAACCTAGTCAACTGTTGCCTGAAAGCCAGGTACTATCTGAAGTGTTCCACTTTCCTCCCAATGCCCTGACTCTGCCTGGCCTCCTCCCCTCTTCCATCCCACCACCAACTAACCAACCAACACCGACCACCAACTAACCAACCAACACCGACCACCCCCTCCCTCCCCGCAACCCCACCACCCCCACCCCCGACCATCACATCACTGGCTGAGCTCCCGTCATCTCTCTGCAGGCTGGATCCATGCCGTTTACACTCCAGAAGATACCCTGGTGTTTGGAGGAAACTTTTTGCACAGTTTCAACATCCCAACACAACTCCGCATCCACAACATTGAGGACAGGACTAGGGTGAGTTTGTGGGGCCGTGGCTCTGGGCTGGGCACGGTTTCTGGGTGGGGGAGCGGGCCGAGGTCTGGGCTGGGCACGGTTTCTGGGTGGGGGAGCGGGCCGGGGTCTGGGCTGGGCACGGTTTCTGGGGGGGGGAGCGGGCCGGGGTCTGGGCTGGGCACGGTTTCTGGGTGGGGGAGCGGGCCGGGGGATGAGAGTTTGATCTGGGGCAGTGGAAAATGAGGGACTCTTTCTGACACGTCCTTTCCTCTCGGCAGGTGCCCTCCAAGTTCCGCTACCCGTTCTATTACGAGATGTGCTGGTACGTTGTGGAGCGGTATGTCTTTTTCCTGACAAAATGTTCACACCTCACCAAACAGTTCCAGAGGGAGTCTCAGCTAATCGGTAAGTTCCTGCACCAGGTGCCTGCCTGCCGCTCCCACTCATCTCCTGAGCAGTGACCGAGCGACACTCCACCCCATTTCTCCCTCGCACCCTCTTTCTTTCACGTGTGCACGCCCCCTCTCTCTTGCTGTCTCATGCGCTCGTCGCCCCTCCCTCTTGTACTCTGTTCCTCCCACCCTTCCTGGTGCTGTCTTGGGCACGTGTCTGTACACTAATCCAATAAACACACAATCCCCTTTTTCTCCCTCATTTGCAATCCTTGTGCAGATGAAGACACTGAGTCTGACGACACAGAGAATGGCGATGATGTTAAGGAAGAGGTGGATGAGAGTGAGGAGCCTACCGAGAGGGAGAGGAGGGGCCATTCCCTCCGTAAAGGCCCCTCTGAGAGCCCAGCTCCAGACCGCAATGGACTCCCGCAGGACCATGGTAGTCGGCTGCTGAAGAGGAGCCCGTCGTCGGAGTCACTGGACAGCGGAGGAGGCTCACTGGGATCCCAGGACACTGCGCCCGCACACTGGATCCACCTGACCCAGTTTGAGCGCACCGGCCTGCAGGCTCTAGTTGACAAGCTGCAATCTCTGCCCGAGCACAAGAAATGTGTCCCTGCCGGCCTCCTCGATCCAGACTCACTGCTCCAGGAAATGCAGGTGAGGTGGCGCTCCGATAGTGAGGCTCTCCATCGGTCACTGATACTCCGGTTAATTTCATTACAGACTTGGTTTTGCATGTGGTATTGAACCCAGAACCTCTGCCATCCAGTGGGATGATGAATGTGAGTTTTTTTTCCTTTAATCGTTCATGGAATGAGGGCATCGCTGGCTAGGCAGCATTTATTGCCCATCCCTAATTGCCCAGAGGGCAATTAAGAGTCAACCACATTGCTGTGGGTCTGGAGTCACGTATAGGCCAGACCAGGTAAGGATGGCAGTTTCCTTTCCTAAAGGGCATTAGTGAACCAGATGGGTTTTCCCGACAATTGGCAATGGATTCACGGTTACCATTAGACTCTTAATTCCAGATATTTATTGAATTCAAATTCCACCATCTGCTGTGGCGGGATTTGAATCCAGGTCCCCAGAGTGTTATCTGGGTCTCTGGGTTAACAGACCAGCCATAATACCACTCGGCCATCATCATCAACTACCGCCCCTCCGGCGCGTGTGCGAGTGCGCCATGACAGGGCAACACTGTGCTGGCTTTCCCTGTGGATAAACCCAAGCTTGATGTCTCTGTCTCTTCTTTCTCTTTACCTTTGTCTTGTCTCCTCCATCAATTTCTCCCCCCACCGTGTCTCCTTCCCTTTCAGAAAGTTCTGGAAGACCACATGAACGATGACCCCCAGCTGGCGTGTTCAGGCCTCCCAATCATCAGGTGGCCCAAGCGACGTGACAAGGTGAGCACAGCAGAGGGGGGCGCGAATGGGGGTCGGTGTGGGGGGAGGCGGGGAGCGTGTGGTGGGGTGGGAAGCGTGCTGTGTGTCTGTCTAATCGCCGTGTGTCCATGTCCCTCAGCCCAAGGCCCCGATCCGGCTGAAACCCCGGCCCCCGGTGCTGGCCCTGAGTAAGCCCGCGTTGCTGAAACCCCTCCCGGGCTCCCGGCGGAGGCGGACCCGCTGCAAGAGGTGTGAGGCGTGTCGGCGCAGCGAGTGCGGGGTCTGTCACTACTGTCGGGACATGAAGAAATTCGGGGGCCCCGGCCGGATGAAGCAGTCCTGTGTCCTCCGGCAATGCGAGGCAGTGAGTACCGGGGCAGCGGGGGGTGGGGGGGGAGCGGGAGGGGGGGGCAGGGGGGGGGGGGTAAGGGGCCCGGGGGGGGGGGGGGGGGGAAGAGGTGGTGGGGTGTAGGTTCTGTGGAGACAGACTGCAGGGAAGGGTTCCGCAGAGGGGGCATCGAATGATTGGGAGGGGAGTGAGAGGATTGACGAGGGCTGAGAGAGAGGAGGGCCTGTGAAGTTGGGGACCTGTGGGGTGTGGGGCAGTGCGGACACCCGAGGGAGAGTGGGACACAGGAGGGCCGAGAGGGAGGCTGGCGAGGTGACGGTGCTGGGTGCATGACGGCCTGGATTTGAATCGGGTAACAGAGGGGTCAGGCAGGATTGTGTCTCTCTCCATTGGAGGGTCGGTCTGCCAACCCTCACTCCCTCTGCCTGGGTGAGGCGTCTCTCCCTTGCTCCTCGATTATCGCCCCTCTCCCTCCTCGCCCATGCCCCTCCCTTTGCTGCCCCCCTCTGTCCCTCTCCCTGCCTCAGTGCGCCTCCCCGACCCCCTCTCTCCCTCACTAACCGTGTCTGTGTTTTCGCGTTACAGCCGATCCTCCCCCACACGGCGCTGTGTATGATCTGTGAGGAGGTGGGTCAGAACGCCGACGGGGAGAACAACAGTGTGCGAGGGACTCTGATGGAGTGCTCGGCCTGTAGTGAAATTGTCCACCCGGGCTGTCTGAAGGTGAGCTGGGCAAACCCCACCCCCCCCCTACCAAACCTTCACCTCCCACTGGCAACCTGAAGGAGGGAGCTAGATGCAGGCAGCTGGGCACTTCTTAACCTTTGACTTTTCACTGTTAACAGATGAATATTTCCCTGGGAATCATCAGCAAGGAGCTTCCAAACTGCTGGGAGTGTCCAAAATGTGTGAGGCAGGAGCGACGAAAGCTGGCCTTGGTGAGTGGGTTGGGGTTGGCGGGGTGGGGGGGCAACAGGATAGGGGTCAGGGGCCTGAGCACCGAGGCTGTGTCTGGAGCAGAGAATTATGGAGGTTCCTTGTCAGCGCTCCTAATGTCTATCTGACTGTCTCACCACCCCCGTGTCTCTTCCCCAGGCGAAGAAGGGCTACAGCCCGAAGGACGGTACTGACTCAGAAAGGCAGCAACTGATTGCTGAGGCGGTGAGGAAGCGGGAGGAGCAGAGCCGGAGGGCCCAGGCCATTGAGGCCGCCCGCAGGCGACTCGACGCTCTGCCCAAGCGCAAGAAGTTTGACTACCTGCTGCTGCGGAAGAAAAGGCTGGCAGCAGCTGAGCACAACGCAAGAAAAAAGGTCAGGCCAACAGCTCGCCAGCACGGCTACACTCCCGTACACACGCTCTCTGTCTGCATTGCCCAGGCAGACTCTGAGCTGTCGGGGGCTCGGTGCTGAGGGGGTGCTGCGCTGCCCGGGGGGTGGGGTGGGGGGTTTCTGTGCCGAGGGGGCGCCATGCTGTCCAACGAACATTAAACAGAGTTTCCTGACATATGGATGATTGCACGGTGAACATAGGGAGCAATGGTCACCAGAGTTCATTCTGTCTGTAATGACCAGCTTGTTGGGCACTCTGGGCCAAGAAAGAGAAATGGGGTGCACGTTTTGTTGATCTCGCAGGTCAGCGCCGCTTCTGGCTTCACCGTGATCTGCCCAGCCTGCTGTACATTCACCACATCGTTCTGGCGCTGTCCCAGGTAGTCAGTACCTACGCGTTGTGGTCTTGTAATGGTTCCTCTCATGGGTCTGGGGGCTGTGTATTTAGCCCCTGTGCTTACCCCCTATCTGCATTACCCACTGGTGAGCACAGTTACTTTCCCAGGGGTCCTGATAAACTGTCTGACTTATGCAGATGAAAGGAATTTTATTTGGCTGTCTAGGTGGTTTGGGACAGCCCAAGCAGTGAATGAAGTTGTGGGTTTATTTCTTCTCTTTGTTCTTGGGGAAAGGGATGGGATGCTTCCCTCACCCTCCTAAGTGTCCTTTCTCTTGTGTTTTCCTCACAGATAAAGTTTGAGAGGGAACAGATACTCCTGCGAACGGTAAGTGTTTTCTTCCTGTTTTGAATTGATTTGCATTTGGATAGCATCAACAAAAACATTCGCTTGTAGCACGGAACATGAATTTTTCTTATCCTTTTCGCCGGATGAGGGTGCCACTGGCTAGGCCAGCCTTTATTGCCATCCCTAATTGCTCAGGGGGCAGTTGAGTGGACTGCATTGCTGTGGGTCTGCAGTCATATGTCAGCCGGACCAGGTAAAGACAGCAATTTCCTTCCCTGACAGAGATTAGTGAACCAGATGGGTTTTTCTGACAGTCAACTATATGATCATTATCGGACTCTTGACTTCAATAACCATCTGGAATTAAAATCCACCACCTGTCATAGTGGGATTCAAACCCAGGTCCCCAAAGCATTACTTGGGTCTCTGGATTGACAGTCCAGCGATAGTACCATTAGGCCATCGTCACCTGCTTAAATGGAGCTGAAAAGAGACATGTCCTCACGACAAATTCCAAGCACCAAGTCCAGCAATCTTGGAACCACGGAACTGTCACAGTGCAGCAGGAGGCCATCCAGCCCATCACATTTGTACCAACTGTCTGAGCCTCTCTACTCCAAGCCAGCCTCTTGCCTTTTCTTCCCCCCCGCCCCATATCCCTGTATCCCATTTTTATCTAAATAAACATCCAATGCCCCACTTGAATTGAACCTTGCCTCCACCACATTTCCAGGCAGTGCACTCCAGAAACAAAACCAGATATTGCTGGAAAAGCTCAGCAGGTCTGATTTCTCTGCACTGGATGCTGTCCAATCTGCTGAGCTTTCTCCAGCATCTGCAGTCCTTTCGGTTTTAGTGTAGTGCATTCCATACCCGAACCGCTCACTGGGTGAAAAATAATTGTTTCTTCCCCTCATCCCAGACATCCTTCTTTTGCAATGCGTGTTAAAGCCCTGCCCTCTGGTTCTCGATCAACTCACCACCAGGAACAGCTTCTCACTATCTGCTTTATCCAGGCCCCACTCATGATTTTGCAAACTTCTGTCAGATCTCCCCCTCAGCCTCCTCCTCCTCTAAGGAGAGCAGTCCCCAACTTCTTCAATCTGTCCTCATTGCTGAAGTTTCTCAGCCTTGCAACCATGCTTGTAAATAGCTCCTGCACACACACTCCAATGCATTCACATCCTTCCTATAAAGTGGGGCCCACAACTGCACACAACACTCCAGCTGAGGTTTAACTAGAGTCTGCAGGAAGCTGCGGTACAAAAGGACCTGGGGGAAACTTGTGCACGAAACACAGCAAGCTCATGTACTGCTACAATGGAGTTGACTCTTCACTGCCCTCTGGACGATTAGGGATGGACAATTAATGCTGGCCTAACCAGAGATGCCCTCATCCTGTGAATACCTGTTTGAATTTTTTATTTAAAAAAAAATCAGGAAGGCTCATGGAATGTTGGCCCTTATTTCAAGAGGGTTGGAATGTAACGGGAGGGAAGTCTTATTGTAGCTGTATCATCCTATGACAGAGGGACTGATAAGTAAGTTTGGGAATGACACACTGATTGTGGGTGACAGTGAGGAGGATGGTGTTGGGTTACAGGAGGATAGAAACGGGTTGGTCAGATGGGCAGATCAGTGGCAGATGGAGTTTAACCATAAGAAATGGGAGATGATGCACTGTAGAAAGAGGTAACAAGACGAGGGAGTACTCCGTGAATGGCAAGACCCTAGGGAGCTTGGAGGAACGTCCGGATCTTGGGGTGTTAGTCTACAGATTGCTGTAGGTTCTCTACTGATTACTGACAAGGCCGTGGTCTGTGTGACTGCCTCCCCACCACAGAAACGGAAAGCAGAGGACAGCCTTGACCATCGGGTAGGGGCTAAGATCCTGCGCCCGCTGAGGAACGGTGAGGATTTGTCCCTGGGCCCATACCCCAGGCTGGGCTCCAGCAGGGACGGTCTGCGACCAGACCGTGCCGAGCGATTTTATCGGCGCCAGCTCCGCCGCAGCTTGGACCCTGCTCGCAGTAACCCCAGCTCCGCAATGTCCCGACATCGCCACCTTTCGGAGATCGAGAAGGCCAAGATCAGGGGCTCGCTGCTGACCGTCCGTCTCCACCGCTCACCGGGAGACTTCAACGGCTCAGCCAGTCATCACCGCAGTCCCAGTACCAGCCTGCGACAGGCTCCACGTGTGGTCAGCTGGCAGTCAGGCTGTCAGTGCCAGCAAGATAACCCGTCTCCCTCCTCCTCCTCGTCTGACAACCCCCCCGACGATCACATGATGCAGCGACACCTCTGGATGTCTGTCTTCCGCTACCTGACCCAGAAGGAGCTGTGTGTCTGTATGAGGGTCTGCAAGGCCTGGAGCAAATGGTAAGTGCACAGGGACTTGTCCATCTCTTTCCCCGCCCCGTCTATCTCTCCCGCAATCCTGGATGAACTCTGTTCTACCAAATCCCCCCCCCCCGCCAACCCTGTCTAACTCCATCCCTCAATCCTGTTTGCACCCCCCATCTCCCCCCGCCCTGTCTAACTCCCTCTCTTGATCGTGTATTAATGGTGTTCCCCCTACCTGTAGGTGCTGTGATAAGAGACTATGGACAAAGATCAACCTGAGTCGATGTAAGTCGATCACTCCCCTGGCCCTGGGCGGGATCAGCAAGAGGCTCCCCGTCAGCCTGGATCTCAGCTGGAGCAACATCTCCCGCAAGCAGCTAACCTGGCTCATCGACAGGCTGCCTGGTCAGCATGGGCCGGGGGGTGGTGGTGGGGGGGGGGGGGGGGGGGGGGGGGGCGTGGGGACACGGGTAGGGAGGGGGAGGCCTGAGGGGTTTGGGCGGAGGGGGTGGTGATGGAGTGCGCGAATTCCCGAACGTGGGCAGTGACATTGACAGGAACCGTGTCTGACTCTGTGTAACAGGACTGAAGGACCTCTTCCTGTCCGGCTGCTCTTGGTCAGCCATCTCTGCTCTCAGCACCTCCAGCTGCCCGCTACTGCGTACTCTCGACCTCCGATGGGCTGAGGGGCTCCGTGACAGCCAGATGCGGGATCTGCTGTGTACCCCCGATAAACCAGGTCAGTCAGGGAGGTAGGGGGGATGGGGGTTGGAGCTTATCCCCTCCACTTATCCCATTCTGCCTCTCTCCCTTTTTTACCATCGCACCCCCCCACCCCCCCCCCCCCCAGCCAGCCATGCCCGGTGTGATGTCGGGGTGAGTGAACCCAGTAAATTTCCCGGTTTTCCACAGGCCAGCTGGACAACCGCAGTAAGTTACGGAACGTGACGGATTTCCGGTTAGCGGGCCTGGACATTAGTGACGTTACCCTGCGGCTGATCATCCGCCACATGCCGCTGCTTTCTCGCCTGGATCTCAGTCACTGCAGCCACCTGAGTGACCACTCCCTCAACCTACTCACAGCTGTTGGTTCATCCACCCGCAACTCACTCAGTGAGTTACAGCTGGAAGGTAAGCAGCAGCAAGCTGCCTGTCCCAGTCTCTCCACTCCAACACCTCCAGGTGGGGCCAGGGTGGGATTGCAGAGGGAGAGGTGGTGGGGGGCGCGGGGCACGGGGAGGCGGCGATGGGCTGACGGAGGGGGGTAGG